GGGTCGAAAAATGACGTTTTTTATGCAAAAATCCCCCTCTTCCCTGAACTCCTCTTACATTTTACACAGTAGCCTAATCATCTTTGGGGAGATGGTTGGTGGTGTTTGTAGATGTGCAGTAAGGTTTCGGAATTTTGATTTTGCCCAGGGGGTCAAATGGGGGCGAAAAATGACGGCAAAAAGCCCCGTCTTCCCTGAACTCCTCTTACATTTTACAGAGTAGCCTAATCATCTTTGGGGAGATGGTTTGTGGTGTCATGTAGATGTGCAGTAAGGTTTCGGAATTTTGATTTTGCCCCCATTACCTTCCCTGAACTCCTCTTACATTTTACAGAGTAGCCTAATCATCTTTGGGGAGATGGTTTGTGGTGTCATGTAGATGTGCAGTAAGGTTTCGGAATTTTGATTTTGAAAAGTTGAATAACACGTTTTTTATTTCTTTTGAACTCTTATATTTTACACAGTAGCCTAATCATCTTTGGGGAGATGGTTGGTGGTGTCATGTAGATGTGCAGTAAGATTTCAGGAATGTTGATTTTGCCCCAGGGGATCAAAAATCGAAAAATGATTTTTTTTTTGCAAAAAGCCCCGTCTTCCCTTAATTCCCCTTACATTTTACACAGTAGTCTAATCATCTTTGAGGAGATGGTTGGTGGTGTCATGTAGATATGCAGTAAGGTTTTGGAATGTTTAATGTCTAATTGTGGCCTGACCTAGCCTTTGAGGTTATGATTTGAAAAACTAGAAATATGTCTATAGGACATGAATGTCCCACTGGATGTATATTACTCATGCTACAGGAAAATTTGTATTAGCGTATTAAGTTTGTTGAAAATATCTTGAACAGTTTCTTTAGAATTGAAACTAAAATCTAAATAAATTTGATATAGGTTATAAATCCTCACCAAATTATGTATTATAAGTGCATGCTAAACATAAAAATGTCTTAAATTATTTCTTTAAAACTAAGCGAAATACAAATTAAAAAGGATGGAGGTCAAGGTCAGAGGAATGTGCAAGGTTAAGTTTTTGATGAAGTTATCAGCATATTATGTTTGATAAAAATATCTTGAATGATTTAATGAAACTGACCTTAACACTTTTTCTAAGAAAAGAGAGGTCAAAGGAAAGGTTAGGGCCAAAATGTTGATTGTTGCAGTTGAAAAGCTTACATCAGTATGAATTTACTATTAGCATATGAAGTTTGATAAAACTATAATTAATGGTTTATTTAAAACTTAGATAAACACATATTTTAAAAAGTGAGGTCAAGGTCAAAGGAAAATTCAAGGTCAAAATAAGTTGATGTATTAATAGCTCTCAGCAGTATGTATCAGCATATGAAGTTTGATAAATATATTTTGAATTGTTTACTCAAAACTGATTTAGACATTAATTTTAGAAAAGTGAAGTCAAGGTCACAGGAAAGGTCAAGGTAAAAAAGAGTGAAGTATTGTAAAGCTTACATAAGTATGTATTATCATGTAAAGTTTCATTACACAACTTGAATGGTTTCTTTAAAATAAAGCTAAACAGTAATTTAAGGAGGCTAGGGGGTCAACAAATTATTTTTTTTATTAACCACCGGTTATAACTTAAATTTGGGGATATGATATCTTAAGCCATCAACTATCATTTGGCAATGGGGAATCAAAGTTTTATATAGAAAAAAAAAAATTCATAAATTTTTGTTTTAAAATTTGATCATTTTATCATTTTTATTATATGTTTATATGGAGCTATTCTTCTAAAAGAGATCAATATAGTCTAAAAATGGCTGCATCTACCCAGCCTCTTTAAAGAAAAGTTATGTGAAGGTCAAAGGAAAAGTCAAAGTCAAAAAATATTGCTGCAGTTGGATATTTACATCAGTATGCATCAACATATGAACTTTGATAAAAATATCTAGAAAGTTTCTTTGAGCCCAATGGAAAGACAGATGGAAGGGTGGAGGACGGACATGACAAAAACTATACATGTATTCCTAATCATGGTGTGGCATAAAAAAACTTGAATCTACATTATATGAGGATGTTTCCATCTATCAAGATTATACATTAGCAAATTCAAAGAATTGTGGTCCTCTGCTTTCTGTGTTTTAGTGAATGGGATGCCATAATTTATGGCATATTATGTCATTGAATATGCACCCATATCATATATCAATTTTTGAAAATTAGGTCAAAGGGGTAAAATCATAGCATGTTCTGAAACATTTTGTTGCAGGTAATGTACATGTCAAATATAAAAGTCATATCTCTTTTGAATCAAAATTTATATATACAATATAATATTTTTGAAAAGTAGGTTAAACTTCTAGGTCAAGGTCACAGAGTCAAAAGTAATGTTATATTTAGAAAAGTCTTTTCACATGTAATAAACATGTATAATTTGAATGCCCTTTCTTTTCTCTTTCAAATTGATCAATTTAAAATGTTATTTTTTGGAAAGTAGGTAAAACTTTAAGGTCAAGGTCTCACTTGGGTTAAAAAATCATAGTATATTTAGAAAGTTTTGTGGTAATGTACATGTGAAATAGGAAAGCAGTATCTCTTATTATTCAAAAGTTATTACCAAGGTTAAATTTATTGTGACAGATGCACATACTAGCTGTCAATAAAATGGACAAACTGACAGACAAATGAGATTTAACGTCCCCTCCCTTTCCCCAAAATGGGGGACAATAATGCCCTTGCTGTTCTTGAGAAGAAGATTTATGATGGAAAAAATCTCCTGCATATTTCTTAACGCAAATCAATATTGTGTTTTTATGTCATTTTGTTTGTTATTAAACATCCCTCTCAGGAATTTTTCACTCATATGGAGACACCACCACTTGAAAAATAATGAGGACAAGTTAGATTTGAGGTCAACATTCATTTTAGGAGTTTTCAACCATTAAGACATAAAGAAATATTAACTCGATCCTTCCCCTCACCCCTTCCCAGACCCCTGTTTGTTTATGTATGCAAACTACTACTTGTATTACATTAAAAAAAAAATTATACAAATAGTTTAATGTGGTCCATCTCTGAATGATTTTCATTCCTATTCTAGGCCGCCGCCAGAAGATAAGTTGACACAAATTCATGAATAAAATGTCAAGTAATCTTATCATTGATGCACTTTTATTTAATTTAATGCAGTATATTGTGAACATTTCCAGCTCATTAGGAGTGGGAATGACCTCCAGGGGTTCATAACCTTTATACCATTTAATTTACATAACATAATAACACAAGAAACAAAATTATGGAGAGTCAAATGGAAAAACTTTCCAACTGTTTAGGAGTCACATAATCATTTGTCATTACAGGGACAGGGAGTGGATTGGCTGATCGCCATCTCAACCCCCCCCTCCCCCCCCCCCCCCCCTTGGAATTTGCAGGACTATAATATATACTGGAGGAAATAAAAATGACTTTGTATGCCCTAAGTGTCCCTCCACCTTAGAAAACAGACCCAAACATAACTTCTTTTTTTTTTTTAGCTTCTCAGGAAATTCAGGTCTGACCCCCCTCCCTCCCAGTCCCAGAAAAAAAATTCTGGATCTTCTAACTGAATGTAACGTTGATAACGGGGGATAACTCTTCAGAATGTCAAAGCATCGGATGACCTTTGATCCTTTAAACTTGAACCTAGAACCGTTTGCATTTCAGACTATTTTACCCAAATCTATACCAAAATTTTGTACTTACCGATTGTCATTATTTAGGTCCTGTAATATTCATGAAATATAATCCAATTAAAACACAAAATGAAATAATTCCTATATGCAATGATGTGTATACCACATTAGTAGCCTACTGCACGTGCAGTGAAATCTAAAAATGATAATGCCAATGGTAAAACTAGTACTTAAGTTGGGTACAAATGACGGAAGCCCAATGTGATGCAGGTGTTCAAATACATGTATAGTGCAAGAACAAATTGAAAATTATAATTTACGAAAGATGTTTTATCTTAACTTTCCATCTAGGCCTATTTCCAAAAACAGGCAAATTAGGTGTGTTATGTGTGTGTGTGTTGATGGGAGAGGGGTGGGGGTTGACTAAATTGATTGTGTATATATGGCAGATTTCAAGAAGTTTAGAACTGCCTTAAGCTTGTCAAATATAAATAAACTTTGCACATTTTGAAAAATTCATCAAAAACTCTTTACACTAATTTGAATAATATTATTTGTTGATTTACAGATATGAGAAAATATAGATTTAAAAAGTTCCAATTATGTGCCAAAAATTTATACCCCCCCCCCCTTTATCAAACCTTATTTACATCATTAATTTAATTCTGTTGTTTAATTCAGACTGGTAATGAATTAAGGATATGAAATACCTATTAGATGGAGGCCCATAAAAACATGGTCACCTGAGCATATTATGCTCAATTTGATAAAACATGTAATATGTAAATTATTAACAAAACATGCTTCCGTTAAAGTATCTGAATCAGCCATATGCCTCGTTGCACATATACTGAAATCTATGGAGATAACGAACAGTATTCAAGATTAAAACTGGGTCCATTAAACAATACAAATTAAATAAGAGCAGAGCAAATGGATCTATGGGATCAGGTGCCATGGAAGAGTGAGCATCCCCTACCAACCGGTCAGTTATTATTTTGTTAAATTGTTTAATTTGATAAAACTGATTTTTCTTTTTCAAAATTTTTTTTGCGTCAATAACAATTGAATTTGATTCCGAATTTTTGAGGTTCATATATCTTAAGTACACCTGTATCTCCTGACATAATCTCTTGTTTTGAAGTCTTAGGTCTAATATTCATCGTTGAATACAACTTAATGAAATAGTCATGTTACCTCTGATCTTGAATACTGTTCGTTATCTCCATAGGTTACCTCTGAAATAGGTTTTGGACCTTCAGAAAAAGAGACGTTTCTGTCACCCCTTCAATAAAACTGAGACTTAATAGTCAAATGATATACCGGTATTTACTCCACGTGTACTTTGTCAACGAAATCGGAAATATACAATATGCCCATTGACCTAAATCTCTGGAAGTGGCTGATTGATCCTTTGTCAATACATTCCAACTCTGTGACAGAAATGCTGACTAAATTTGGCTCAGTCTCTGAACTTTAAACGATAAAAGGATTGAATGATCACTAGAGGCACTTTCTTCAAACTCTGCAACAAAAAGACTGACTAAGTTTTGCTCAACATTTCGTCCAGTAAAGAGTTTGGGACAACGTACACCATGTACCTACAAATTAATATTGCTATAAATCGTCTAACAGTTTTATCGTGTAAAGACTAAACTTTCAGTTTTGTGTATTTTGTTACAGGACGAGCACACCTACGACTATATCGATTCCAGTGCCTTCAGTAATTATGCATACGAGGGTCATTCTAGTATCCAGAAGAACAGAGAGGTATTCGAACCCACCCCTCCAAAAAGGTATGGTGTCTACCGGAGTTTGAATACCACCATATTGTATTTTTGGAAAATATTAAGCTTCAAATAAATGTTTTTGATTGCCTTGATAGCTAAAGATAATTAGGGATTGTTTCAAAGGATAACGTAAATATACTTAAAAGAATTCAAAATTCAATTTAAAAATCCTATAAAAAATACTTGAAAATTGATAGATATCTAAATTAATAAATTGTTAATTGTTATTGGGAATGCGAGAGAATTGCTGTTGTATATTTCATTTATTAATTGATATAATATTGACTCAAATTTAAATTTAAAAAATGCACAAGGGAATTTACAAAATATAAGACACATGCTTCATTTTAAAAAAGTAGCGTTTTTTTAAGTAAAGTGTATGATAAATCCTTCTTTTCCTCATATAGATCATCTGTTTCTATCAGTCGTCAGAATCGATGTTTGTTTGTGTCTGTCATCGTTGGTGTCATTATAGTTATCATCACTGTTGTCGTCGTTATTGTCGTCAAAAGTAAGTTTGACAGAATTGACAGTGGATAATCTATAAAATACATGATTTCATTAGTAAAGATACACTACTACACATTTAGTATATATATTGTTGATTTTTCTCATTATTTTCTCATGTTTTATCTGTTAAAAGTTTGATATTAGAAAGGTTTAAATTCGAAGTATTTATTATTAAGAAATTTAAAGTTTTAACGATGTACCCAGGTATCATTAGATTCTCAATTATTATATCTAAAGAGAATCATGAAAGATGTGAACATAATGTAAAATTAAACGAATTAGAAAACTTATAAATTATATACTTATATTTTGTTTACAGAAAAAAATGAAAGTAAACCCCAGGCACCAATGGGTACGTCAAAACTCATTTTATGGTAAACTTTCCATGAAAACACATTTCAGAATTTTTTAGTTAAGGAAATGACTTTCAAACAGAATTTTGAAAAAGATGATTTTAATATTTATAAATATAAGCCATGATATTTTTAGAATGCGTGTAATATTTATAGAATCTAAGTCATATTACTTACAGAATTTGAGGCCACCATGACCCTAGTAACTCCATGGCAACCAGAGTACGATGACCCCGACAGTGAGATTTATCAGAGATTTACATCTGCCCTCCTGGCCCAAAAAGAGTCTTTTACATTAATTGAGCATAAAGAAGGAAACTACTATCATACTTTTAATACTACCATATACTTTGTGTGAAATTCACTTTGAAAGCAAATGCAAGAATGCGTTAATTTATCATTTGAATATAATAACAGGCCTTGTTTTTCGAAAGAATAGTTTTTTTAAATCTTATTTTTTTTTTAAAATATTCACTTGATCCTAAAACTCACTTTAATTTTGATATAAATCTTCAAGAAAACTTTTTCTCAACAATATTTTAAAATACATGAGGTTGGGAATGGGGGCCTTTATTTGATATTTGCATGTTCCTACACAGGTTGCTAAAAATTTAAAAGTCATCATTTACTTTTATATTGACCATTGCAATTAAACAGTTCTTACGTAGAACACAAAATGTTTTTTAATTTTTACCTAAAACTTGGTATTGCTATTTTGAGTACTTAGTGTCTATAAATAATTAAAGGAATGTAAGTTTATTCAGGCTGAACAGTTTTTGAACATGTTGAATAGACTTGAATACGGGTCGCTAGTCGCGTTCCAGGTGACTGACCATAAGACAAGAGGTCAGCAGAAGGAAAACAACACACGACATGGATAGTGCATATAAAGAGGTAGGTATAAACTGTCGTATAATTTCTTAAGTTTGGTCAGAACACCTTGATCTCTGTCTCATCTACCTATGTATACACGTTATATTACAGTAACATTCTGTTTCTAAATTACAAATAATGCAATACCAGTGTCCATCAGCTGTGTGCAGGTATAGTTCAGTAGACAGAAAACAATACAGTTTGTTTTTCGACTAATGCATCTTCTTTTTAATCTTAGATGTATCCAGATTTATTTTATTTTATTACATTCTCGGTGTAGCTTTAGACATTTTTCATCTACAAATGACTGTTTTTAACAGTGGTACAAATTCTTCAACGTAATGTTCAGTGTCTGGATTTTGTTTCGGATGGGGAATTTCTATTGTTTAGGATTTTGGAACATTGAATCACTTAACACTTGTTCCTCTGCTCTGTATTTCTTCTTTGTGTTATATATGAATTGGCTAAGTCTGTACCCAGTCTTGGCTGAACTATATACTCGTAATAATATATAGTCAGATAGTTATACATATACATGTAGCATCAATTCTGGGCGTTACCGTTTGACTCGACCTTACTTTACAGTATTTCAAAATATCTGAACTATTCTTTATTCTTGTTCAGTTTTCACCTTATTCAAAACTTCCTTTGTTATTATTTTTTTTTTTTTATTTTATTTTTTTTTTTTACAAATGTTGCACAAGGGTTATGGGCAGCGGAAAGGGCAAAAATTACCATAATGAGAAAACAAACAATTATTATCATTTCAACGATCATAAAAACAAATGACATATAATTTATTATCAACAGACCTTTTCTCAAAACATAAATACATTAAAGCAAAACAAACTATCAATTTTGCAGAACAAACGTACATAAAAACACGACAAACGAAAAAAAAATCTTAAAGTGACTAAACTTTGCGCGTGTGATGCAAATATTAACAAAACATGCTTCCGTTAAAGTATCTGAATCAGCCATATGCCTCGTTGCACATATACTGAAATCTATGGAGATAACGAACAGTATTCAAGATTAAAACTGGGTCCATTAAACAATACAAATTAAATAAGAGCAGAGCAAATGGATCTATGGGATCAGGTGCCATGGAAGAGTGAGCATCCCCTACCAACCGGTCAGTTATTATTTTGTTAAATTGTTTAATTTGATAAAACTGATTTTTCTTTTTCAAAATTTTTTTTGCGTCAATAACAATTGAATTTGATTCCGAATTTTTGAGGTTCATATATCTTAAGTACACCTGTATCTCCTGACATAATCTCTTGTTTTGAAGTCTTAGGTCTAATATTCATCGTTGAATACAACTTAATGAAATAGTCATGTTTTCTGATCTTGAATACTGTTCGTTATCTCCATAGGTTACCTCTGAAATAGGTTTTGGACCTTCAGAAAAAGAGACGTTTCTGTCACCCCTTCAATAAAACTGAGACTTAATAGTCAAATGATATACCGGTATTTACTCCACGTGTACTTTGTCAACGAAATCGGAAATATACAATATGCCCATTGACCTAAATCTCTGGAAGTGGCTGATTGATCCTTTGTCAATACATTCCAACTCTGTGACAGAAATGCTGACTAAATTTGGCTCAGTCTCTGAACTTTAAACGATAAAAGGATTGAATGATCACTAGAGGCACTTTCTTCAAACTCTGCAACAAAAAGACTGACTAAGTTTTGCTCAACATTTCGTCCAGTAAAGAGTTTGGGACAACGTACACCATGTACCTACAAATTAATATTGCTATAAATCGTCTAACAGTTTTATCGTGTAAAGACTAAACTTTCAGTTTTGTGTATTTTATTACAGGACGAGCACACTTACGACTATATCGACTCCAGTGCCTTCAGTAATTATGCATACGAGGGTCATTCTAGTATCCAGAAGAACAGAGAGGTATTCGAACCCACCCCTCCAAAAAGGTATGGTGTCTACCGGAGTTTGAATACCACCATATTGTATTTTTGGAAAATATTAAGCTTCAAATAAATGTTTTTGATTGCCTTGATAGCTAAAGATAATTAGGGATTGTTTCAAAGGATAACGTAAATATACTTAAAAGAATTCAAAATTCAATTTAAAAATCCTATAAAAAATACTTGAAAATTGATAGATATCTAAATTAATAAATTGTTAATTGTTATTGGGAATGCGAGAGAATTGCTGTTGTATATTTCATTTATTAATTGATATAATATTGACTCAAATTTAAATTTAAAAAATGCACAAGGGAATTTACAAAATATAAGACACATGCTTCATTTTAAAAAAGTAGCGTTTTTTTAAGTAAAGTGTATGATAAATCCTTCTTTTCCTCATATAGATCATCTGTTTCTATCAGTCGTCAGAATCGATGTTTGTTTGTGTCTGTCATCGTTGGTGTCATTATAGTTATCATCACTGTTGTCGTCGTTATTGTCGTCAAAAGTAAGTTTGACAGAATTGACAGTGGATAATCTATAAAATACATGATTTCATTAGTAAAGATACACTACTACACATTTAGTATATATATTGTTGATTTTTCTCATTATTTTCTCATGTTTTATCTGTTAAAAGTTTGATATTAGAAAGGTTTAAATTCGAAGTATTTATTATTAAGAAATTTAAAGTTTTAACGATGTACCCAGGTATCATTAGATTCTCAATTATTATATCTAAAGAGAATCATGAAAGATGTGAACATAATGTAAAATTAAACGAATTAGAAAACTTATAAATTATATACTTATATTTTGTTTACAGAAAAAAATGAAAGTAAACCCCAGGCACCAATGGGTACGTCAAAACTCATTTTATGGTAAACTTTCCATGAAAACACATTTCAGAATTTTTTAGTTAAGGAAATGACTTTCAAACAGAATTTTGAAAAAGATGATTTTAATATTTATAGAATATAAGCCATGATATTTTTAGAATGCGTGTAATATTTATAGAATCTAAGTCATATTACTTACAGAATTTGAGGCCACCATGACCCTAGTAACTCCATGGCAACCAGAGTACGATGACCCCGACAGTGAGATTTATCAGAGATTTACATCTGCCCTCCTGGCCCAGGTACGAGAGTCTTTTACATTAATTGAGCATAAAGAAGGAAACTACTATCATACTTTTAATACTACCATATACTTTGTGTGAAATTCACTTTGAAAGCAAATGCAAGAATTTCAGATTAGAGTATCATTTGAATATAAGTAACAGGCCTTGTTATTTCGAAAGAAAATGTTTTTTTTTAAATCTTATAGTTTTTTTTTTATTTATATATTTTTGTCTTACACTTGATCCTAAAACTCACTTTAATTTTGATATACTTTTTCAAGAAACAATTCCATCAATCAACAATACCTTTTAAACCATACATTGAGGTTAGGAAGGGAATGGGGGCCTTTATTTCGATATTTGCATGTTCCTACACAGGTTGCTAAAAATTCCAGCATCATTTACTTCTTATATTAACCATTAGTTACCCCCTTCTTACGTAGAAAAAAAAATGTCGATAATTTTTACCTCGCTGCTTGGTATTTGATAGATATGGTAAAAAATATCTTTTGCACTGATTTCACTTGTATTCGCAAAGAATGACACAATGATCACTCTTCAACTTTGAAATAGAATCCTTAATGTCACTACATGTACCATTCCACAAAACATTCTAGTTTACTGACTTTTATCCTGTTTGCTAGACAGAGGACGGTATAAGAGAAAGTGAAGTTGGCATGAACCTGGATTTCATCGTCATTTCAAATTTAAGGTATTTTTTTTTTAAATACCAAAAGAAAAAAAAAATCTTTTCCAATAAAAAAAACTTCGTATCTTCCTTATAAAATTGCTTTATGAAGAAAAGATATCGATATATGTCTATTTTTCAGCCCAGGAAGCGTGATTTGTGATATCAAAATCTTTATGAAAACTGCCAAGTACTCAGTGAACGGAGCGTCACGTGACCAACTTCATTGTAATTCTGAGTACAATTACAGAAATCGTGAGAAAGGCCAAACAAGACAACCCAGCGTCACTTCTGGCAAAAGTCGACACAGCAGAAATAAGTGTCAGACAGCCGCAAACAGGTGCTTCGCCGTCTTTACTATTGACATCAGCAAAAACAGATTTTTTTTACACTTTAATTTAAGAATGTTTTTTATAAGGTGTCTTTAAAATCTCTTGTAGTCTAGAAACTCCATATTGTTAATTAATATGGTATATGCTTTATTATGCATATAATTCTGGTAAAATACAAAATTATAGGAAAACACATTTCAATAAATGTAAATTTTTAATGACCTAAGTAAAAATGAAGGCATGGAAAACTGACATTAATGGAAGTAATTTTACAGGGGCACAGTCTGATACAGAGTCAACAAGAAATCCACCACAAACTTCAACGACCGCCATAAGATCATCATCAACAACAAAAACAACAACGACGACGACAACCACATCATCCATAACAACATCAGTATTCCGCCGGACTTCGTCAAGTGTATCCTCTACTCCATCCACTGGTACTGACATAACACCAGATATGATTCCGGGGAATGGTAAGTCTACTTAACACACATACTCCCCCCCCCCCCACCTCGAAAAAAAAGGAAGACGAAAATTCAAACAATACTGTAAAATGTTTTGTATTTCTTTTCGCATTAAGTATAAGTTAAACAAAAAAATAATAACCAACATAATGCTTGTCTAATATGATCATAATTATATGATTTTCAGGAAAGATTGTTAACATTGGTCGGTCCAACGACGACAATTAAGTTGGCTTTCATTAAATTTTCAAACGTTGGCCCAGCTTCATCTTGCTTCTCGGCCCAAAATTCAACCGAAAAGCTGGATCGACATCAAACCAATACTAGTAGTACATGTATTCGACATTGATCATCTGGCATTGTCACAACTGTTTACAAATAATTAACTAACGTATTTCCAATGATTATCAAAATTTTGAATTTCCGTGTCGATATGCAAGACAGATTTAGAGCTCCAGCATGCTAACTTAATAATTATGATAAGCAATGGTGCCTCTTTCAAAATTGTAAATTGCTGGATCTGACTTACATTTTCCAGATGAGTGACCAGGTAACTGTTTTTGGAGCAGGTCCATTCCCAAGATTCAGTGACCTATAAGGTTAAAGTTTTAGGAGCAAGTCCATTCCCATAAATCTAAAACTTTTGTAGATTCACCTTGTAGAAACATTACCTACCTGGAGACAGTGCTCTTCGTGTCATGTTACGATGACGATGCATATAACCGAGCTTTTCAGTCTAACGACCTGACAACAGCGTTATGTAGGTAGGTTTCATAGAAATTCGTAGAAAAACCTTAGTGTGGACATGAACTCCTTCCTCCCATCTGATTTTCAACCCTGGAGCTGGGACCTTTTTTCATAAATGATATTAAGTTATATATCATGTATACCGTACACGATAAATTGGGTAAAATGCAAAATAATTAATCTTTACATGCACAAAAATACATGAAGAAATGTCCAACAACCATAAATAAATTGTAAGTTAATGTAAATTATCCCTTTTTAGCTCACCTCGACGAAGTCGAGATGAGCTTATGCTATACCCCCGGCGTCGGCGTCCCAGGTTAAAGTTTTAGGAGAAAGTCCATTCCTAAGTAACTATAAGCCCTATCTGAACCAAACTTGCATGGATGATGCATATATAGGGATGTACACTACCAGACTTGCTTCGGATGCTGGATCTGACCTACATTTTCTAGATGAGTGACCAGGTTAAAGTTTTTGGAGCACGTCCATTCCCAAGTAACTATAAGCTCTACCCAGACCGAACTTGCATGGATGATGCATCTAGGGATGGACACTACCATACTTGCTTCAGATGCTGGATCTGACTTACATTTTCCAGATGAGTGACCAGGTAACTGTTTTTGGAGCAGGTCCATTCCCAAGATGAGTGACCAGGTTAAAGTTTTAGGAGCAAGTCCATTCCCAAGGAACTATAAGCCCTTCGCTGACCAAACTGGCACGGATGATGCATCTGGGGATGGACACTACCAGACTTGCTTCGGATGCTGGATCTGACCTACATTTTCCAGATGAGTGACCAGGTTTAAATTTTTAGAGCAGGTCCATTCCCAAGGAACTATAAGCTCTACCCTAACCAAACTTGCATGGATGATGCATCTAGGGATGGACACTACCAGATTTTCTTCGGATGCTGGACCTGACCTACATTTTCATTCCCAAGTAACTATAAGACCTATCCGAACCAAACTTGCATGGATGATGCATCTAGGGATGGACACTATCAGACTTGCTTTGGATGCTGAATCTGACCTACATTTTCATTCCCAAGTAACTATAAGACCTACCCGAACCAAACTTGCATGGATGATGCATCTAGGGATGGAAACTACAAGACCTGCTTCGGATGCTGGATCTGACCTACAATTTCATTCCCAAGTAACTATAAGACCTATCCGAACCAAACTTGCATGGATGATGCATCTAGGGATGGACACTACCAGACTTGCTTCGGATGCTGGATCTGACCTACATTTTCATTCCCAAGTAACTATAAGAACACCAAATTGCATTTATCTAGGGATGGACACTAAAACTTGCTTTGGATGAATCTGACCTACATGTATATTTTTCATACAAGAGTCCAGGTTAAAGATTTGGGAACAGATTAATCCCAATGAACTTGAAGTCCTTGATATCTGCAGTATTAACACATTTGTTTACACTATACATGTTTTTCACGCTACATGCATAGAAATTTGTATATGCCATGTAAGGGGTTAAACACAACTTGCAAGAATATTGTTGTTGGGATAAATACTAGATATTAAGAAAATATGATGTGAGATTTGCATATCTTACACAGATAACATTCGTCGAGGTGAGCTTCGTAATCTTTGATTACCTATGTTTTTATTAGCAATAATAGCATTAGATTCAAATGAAAAAAGTCTGAAGCATGGAGCGATGCTTATAGTTTCTTCCAGGAATTGATACTGCATACAGGGTTATTTTCGTCCTTTTAGCCTTGTGAACAATATTGCTCCGTTTTGAATTCGCCAAGTCACATTTCTGTTTTATTTTACATAAACTATACAATTTTATGTGGAATGTTTCAGATTTCTTGATAAAACAATTCACTGCGTAGTTCAAGAAGTTGCTAAAGATACTGGGATTACCTGCAGCAGAGCTCAGCAAAATCAGTTTATTGATGAGAATGCAGACAACATCCAGATACTTCTTGTTATAGACCCAAGGATGTGTGAGTATTAACCTCTTCTGTACCAGTATATCCTTATTTTTAAGGATGATATTGACTATACCCTTTGAATTTAAAGTTCACAGACTCGGGAACAATTTAGATATTTTCAATATCTAATGTACAAGTTTCAAAAGCCTCAAATACCATGTTAATCTGTATGTAGGTTTTTTCAACTGAAACGAAATGGATTCATAGTCAGTATCAACTGTCAGCATGATTTTGACATGTCATTATCTATTAATGAAAGGGCTGAATTATATATACAATACGAACTATTACCTAGAGATTTGTGTATCTGTTCATGTGTCTCAAACCAAAGAATCAAATTTAAATATATGAACATATGATTTCAGTAGCATAATTGTTCCTTTCATCGTGAAAATATTTCCACTCAGATATTAATATTCACTAAATGTACGATAATTTTGTTTACCGTTAACTGTTCTTTATTTTCCTCAGGTCTATCCTCCAGTCCTTTTCCATCTTTTGAAACGTCCACCTCCACTGCCTACCCAGAACCGGATATGACGACATCAGCCATCATAACAAACAGTGATTACGTTTTTCTAAAACATTTACCTTTTTATAGACTTTGAATAAAACCTTTATCTAAAAAGGAGAAAAAGATTGTTTGTAACAAGACTCAATAAATAATACCATCAATTTTTTGTGTGTAATCCATAAACATACAATATCATAAAACCTCCATGTAAATTCAATCACTACATTGTAACGTCAGTACAATATTGGTATTGTAGGATCGCCATGTGAAAATTCGTCATACTTAGAACAGTTGCTACTTACAAAATGTGTAGACTACTCAAGATACGTTGAAGTGTCTCAGTCAGACAGCACAGTAAAATGCAGGTATGTACAAATCAAGAATTATAACACGTACAAGTTTCGAGCTAATGCTAAATTTTACAGCATGAAAATAAACAGGTTGAAAAGTCTTCTATAATGAAATATATGGAGATACCGAAGTATTCAAGTTCAAAAGTCCTAAAACGGTATAAAATAGGAGCAGAGAAAACACGGACCTCCAAAATATCAGAGGTGGCATCAGGTGCCATGGAGGAGTGAACTTTCCCTGCCAACTGGTCAACCCGCCGTGTGCTCCTTGTCATGATCGGGAAATAACGAGAAAATCCGTCTTCAATTCGGTGTAAAATAATGGACTAACAATTAGTATGAAAAACGTCAGTCGGTGTTTGACTTAAGTGATTAATTGTATTTGCTGACAAGGTCATTGTATCGACCATATAGAACTTACGAAATAATAACTTTAAACGTGACTGCTGATGACATTGTTTCATCAACTTGTTTGTCAATAATTTTCCTTGTTTTAGAAATTTTTGTACAAACGTAGAGCATGCTTTTGCGTAACGAATCAACTGAGATATATTTACTCCGTATGCAGGTGATGAAGATATATTGCTGCATAAGTAAGGGAAGTTGACGATAGAAAAGTTAAAGTCGTCACGTTTATCATAGAGCTTGATTGTTAGATTACCGTTGAAAATAATAAAAATGGTTTACATTTTGTGGAGTACCTGTATGTTACACTTACTGCTGAACCATTCTTATGGTAAGTAAAATGTTGTTTTCTTTATTTTCAGCTTTGTAATTGACGCCATTGCGTGCGTAATTAAAAACGTTTACAATGAGGCAGGTGTCCGTTGTACCAAAGATCAGAAAGATGCTGTTATTAAGCAGAACGCTGAGTTAGTGCGACGTCTTCTGTTAATAGACATAACAACATGTGAGTATTATTGTAATATGTATAACTACACAGGATCTATACAGTGCAGTTTATTTGAAAATAAATTGCTGCACAGCATTTTTTAAAATTATTATTTTAAGGACGCAAATTAGAAAATGAATACATAGATTGATATTATTTCTGGGTTTATTGTGGTTTAATATGATTCAAACATCAATAATTATTTTAAATATTAACAAACATAATGTATAATGTAAAATAATCTTATTAGCCATAAAGCGTAAATCAGTACTGTTTTAAATCTAATTGTCTGATTACTTGTGGCTGCCAAAAAGGTGACACTGTACCATTTTCCGTCCAACTTCTACAGAGTTTTATCTTGCAGATCAATCATGCGTATTTATGAGTATGATGATTTTTTGATAATTAATTTTTACAAAAATACAAGTTATGGTTGTTGAACAAAAACGTTGCCTATAGGGTACATAATTTATT